ACCGGGCTGGCCGACGCACCGACCCACCACCTCCCCACTAAGCCGGCCGAAGCACCTACCCACCACCTCCCCATCGAACCGGCCGAAGCACCTACCCACCACCTCCCCACCGAACCGGCCGAAGCACCTACCCACCACCTCCCCACCGAACCGGCCGAAGCACCTACCCACCACCTCCCCACCCAGCCGGCTGAAGCACCTACCCACCACCTCCCCACCGAGCTGGGTGAAGCACCTCCCCACCCAATTGGCCGAAGCACCTCCCCACCCAGCCGGCCGAAGCACTCCCACCCAGCCGGCCGAAGCACCTCCCCGCCGAGGTGGCCAAAGTACCTCCTCACCGATCCGGTCGACGCATCTCCCCACCACCTCCCCACCGAGCCGGCCGAAGCACCTCCCCACCGACCCGCCCCAAGCTCCTACCCACCGCCCCCCAACCACCCACCGACCGTCCCCAACCACCCACCGACCGCTCCCAAGCACCCACCGACCGCCCCCAAGCACCACCGAACGGCCCCAAGCACCCACCAACCGGCCCCAAGCACCCACCGACAGCCAACGACAACGTCTACAAAAAACAAAAATCATGACACCAACCGGCCCCAAGCACCCACCGACAGCCAACGACAACGTCTGTATTCTAGCGGAAGATTCACTACTCTCGACATCCACAAAATCCACGAAAAACAAAAATCATAACCGTGTATCTGTCCGTAGAACGCAAAAACGAAACGAAACCAGACTTGCCCGAGAAAAAAAGAAACGCCAAACGCGTCGGGCGCATCAGGCGCGGCAGAATTTTACATCGGATGTCTCACGCTTCGCGATGCAAACGATCGAATGCAAAAACAAAACGAAACCGGACTCACCCGAGAAAAAAACAAACGCCACACGCGTCAATTTTACATCGGACGTCTCACACTTCGCGATGCAAACGAGATCGCGTGTCAAAATTTTACATCGGACGTTTCACGCTTCGCGATGCAAAAACACTAACGTGGACCATTGCAGATGAGAGACTCGGTGCCGCGACCGATAAGCTTTAGTAGGGTTGTTTGATAAAGTCTTCCAATGTCCAAGTCTACGCCCAGGCATCAAAATTTCGACCATAGCCCTGTTGCTGAACTAAACCATTCAACCATCGTGCTGTCGAACCCTCTAGAAAGGAAGCAGCGACTATAACTTCCTGTAATGGCCTTGTGAGCTTGTGGCTCACATAGGTAGGCACAATTCTCACCCAGGTGTCCAGGTCCTCATCCTTTTTCTTATCGCCAGAAAAAGGTTTAGGATCTTGGGCATGCACTGCATGGGTTGGACTGCTGCAGTGACTGCATAGCCACTGAGACAGGTTGATGCATGCTAACTTGAGCATGTCTTGACGACGGGACTTAGCTGCCACCGTCATTCATGGTACAAGAGAAATGCTTCGAACCGGACCACTAACTTCTGCCAAACCACCCGAAAGAGGCTTGCCAAACATAGGAGAAAAAAAGGGCCCTATCGCCGAAGGCGTCACTGAGGGACCTGCAACCGAACGGGGAGCTACAAAATACTGAGGCTGCCCCATGATTGGGCGAGGAGCCTGCAGTGCAGCCGGAATTTGGTTCTGGCCGGCCACTAGTTCAGCCAGCACTTCCAGCTGAATCTGTGCTTTTGCCGCGCAAAAGGAGCGAGCGATGCAGCGACTAAATCGCAGGTTCCAGTGTTGACTCGTCCCGTGCTTCTAGTCCTCCTAACTCCTGCCTCAATTCCTAGCCTAGCTTTTCTCAATATAGCTTTCTCTTTCCTCGCTACTGCTTCTCTCAACTGCTGTTGCAACTCGTTATGAAGGGCTTCCGCTTGGAGGATCTCATAATCCTCTAGCGTGAGAGGAGATTGCTGGTTGACTTGTGAGCCAATAGACAGACTGATGTACCTCTGAGAGACACCCTGACTAACACCTAACGAAGAGGCCTGGGCCAAGGCCTGCGACATAGAGGTGGCAGCCATTGCAGCCTTGATGCTGGCTACTGCTGCCCTAGACCTCCGTAATGCCACCCTCTCCTTGGCTTCCCTCCGCAGCCTCCTTTCCTCTCCTGGACCTAACTCTTGGAAAGTGATCGGACGACTGAGAGCAGTTATTCTAAGATCTTCCACTAATCGTTCCTCCTCCTCACTACTAATTGTTTCACTCATGAGCTACGATGGTGTGTGATCTAAACTAGAATCCACTCTAAATCCTACCTTAGCATGACACCCAACCGAGTAATAATAATCAACTAATTCGCTCAGCCTGGAGAAAAGTAGTCAAGTGGTAACTAGCAATCACTGTCAGGTCCTAAAGGTAAGTCTAGTTCTATTTTTAGATCACTCTGGAACAAAATGCAATGCAGCAAGGATTGATCTATCCTATTTGCGGTTGTCTGTCAGTTTTCACCAAGTCTGTACAACTAAACAATCAAAAATTAAAATAAATTGCAGGTGGAGATGCATGTTGGATGGCAGTTTATCTAAGCAGTCCCACAGTGAACAATTGCCGAAATCCCCCCTCCCCCTGTATCCCTCTTGAGTAGTCACTTGTATCGACGTCCTGAGCATCTGGTTGAGCAGCATGCCTAAAGGTGTGCAATCTGGCCCGCCCCTGTGCCCCAAGCCTTTATTAAGCCTGCCAGCCCTGCACTTTGTTTACCCTCGCATGCAACGAGCCTTACGTCCGATTGATCTGGCTGATCAAGAGGCAGTTTAAGGACAGCCCCCAAGGTCCTCAAAAATTATTTAACGTCGCAGACAGGACGACAATCACAGCCCAATTCAATCCGGCAACCCGCCAGAAATATTTATAGACGGTCTGGTGAGCGTTTCTTATAGGGATGACATGCTCAACAAGACCTCTTCTGCACAATAAGCAGAACCAAGTACTCGCGACAAAGCATGCGAGTACTAGTCCCAACGGGTTGGCATGGTGACCGTGACCCAAGTGCTTGTCCAGGGCCCTTCAGAGGCTTCGCATGTCTCCCACAAGCTTGCTGCCCGGGAAGAATGTCGACTCTCGAAGTTGAGCGCTCGTGACACCTCACATTGAGAGGACTCTCAAGACAGAACTCACTTCCTCACGTAAGAAGCGATGAAGAGGGTAGATAAGGAAGAGAGCAACGTACCTCAAATGCTGCTCCCAACCACAGATTTCTCACCCACAACTTGACGTGCATTTATGACGACTGGTCTTTGCCTTGGCACAACAAACAACGAAATGCAGTTCCACCTCGGCTTAAATGCCACATCATCAAGTTCTCATCACCCATCCCTATGTCACCACATCGCCTTCCCGGCAAGCCTACACGACCCTGGGCCGCCTATCGTCCAACACCCAAGCCTTATCACTGCCCCATGCTTTGAACCCAAACATGGCTCTCAGCCAAACGCTTTGCACCCCAACATGGCTTGTCCAACAAACTCTCAAACAAATGGCTCGGTCCATTCCCCGTCATTGAACAAACATCCCTTGAAAATTACAAACTTCAACTACCCCCTGACATCAACCATGTTCACCGTATCTTCCATGTGGAGTACATAAACGAATACCATGAATCCCCTCCAGAATTTGCCAACCGCCCGTATCCTAGACCTCCACCAATCATGCTGCCTACCAGGCCTGAATTCGTGGTAGAATCTATCATAGGACGAAGAAGAACTCAAGTATCCGATCACCCAGAACCAATCACTGAATACAAAGTCAAATGGACCGGATACACAGATGAAGAATCTACAAGGGAACCCCTCAATAATCTCAAGAACGCCATGAAACTTGTTCGTGCCTATGATCGTGCTCACCCCGTATCCTAGCTATACACTACGTATAACACCCATATACCCTGCATAAACCCTGCCTCACTCCTCTACACACATCCCCTGCACCCAGTAAACCCCCAGGCCCTTGACTTCTCCTTGTCTAATCCGCTCTTGCCTTCGTCTCGTTCCCCAATCTGTCCTCTGCCACATCCTCTGTCTCTCTTGTCCAAGCCTTACTTGTGGCTCCTGCGCATCGCCAGCGATAAAGGATCTAATGGCAAGAGCACGAGGACGATGGTCTGCTGCAGCACAGTTCGAGGAGATTAAACAGCTGGTAATGGACAAGCCTTCCAGACACGCATAAAGTCAAACTGGCTGTCAACAAGAGACAAAGAGACCAAAGAGGAAGAAAGGAAGGAGAGGGAGAAAAGGAGGAGAAAGAAGAACAAGAATAGCAAAGGCTCAACCCAAGTTTCCCGAAACGCGACCATTCGGCCATATGATAAAAAATAATACCGCCGAAGCATCAAAAGATAATCGTGAAAACTGGCGCAGCGACCCTACGCTGCGTTTCATCCGGCCGCCAAACCGGAATCATCAGGGGTCTGTCGTATCGCTAGGGAAAGGGACTGAGCAAATAGACGTTTCAAGCTTAAGTACCAAAAGAAGAATCGTCTAAGAAGGTCCGAGATAGAAACAAAGATATTCGTCACCAAGAAAAAGTCCCGAGAATGCCGTCAGAAAAATATAGAAGGTGGACAGGATAGACCAACAAATACAGTAATGAAGCTAACCAGAAAAGATAGTCAGATACAGCCTAAAAGGAACACACCGAACAACGATTCGTTCTAGAAGTAGCGATACTAAATCAACGCACAGTCCCAAACTTCTCACTTCTCCTACCACCACCTGCCCATTCACCGGGCAGCCCCATGTAGACCCTCAAAAAGGTGCTTCGGGAAACCAGTGTTTTTGGGAAAAAAGGAAAAAGAAGGGAGAGAAAAAGAAAAGAAAAAGAAAAAGAAAGAAAAAGAAAAAGAAAAAGAAAGGGAGAAAAGGCAAAACAAACAACAAACAAATCACAGAGGCATCCGTTCGAGTGTGAGTCCAAGACAGATGCACCCCAGTAGCCACTTCCCCCAACGTTTTCAGTGGCCATCCGACCCCATCTCTGTTATCGCACATTTCTCCAGACCCCATCTCCCTGCCCCCGACCTTACTAATCCACCCTCATGGGTGCGAGCGCCTACAGCGCCAATCGTCAATCTACCCCAGCCTGTCAGTACAGCCACCCAATCATCCCAGATCCCCGCAAACTTCCTGGAAAAGACCGTCAGCCCATTATCGAAATATGTGTCTGGGAAACCCCTCTTTCGCAACTCAATCTTCAAGGTAAGTAGAAACACAACCTCCATCCCCTTCAAGTGTACTTCTGTGCCCGGTGAAAACATGATCCGATGATGGCCATTTTCTGCTGCTTACTCGTATAGGAGTCGAAGTCCTGCAGGTTCTGAAACTTCACTCCCTTCTCTTTGTAACTCCGTTGATTTTTGTGCAAAGCAACACACTGCAAACCCCATGGCCATTCCAGAGCTTTCATCACACAACCAAGGAAATCCCAGCAATCACCTTCACTAGTCTGCTCCAGAACGAGGTTGTCATCATAACACACCCGGAACGTGCCCATAATTTCACCAGCCTTACGCAAAGACCCGCCATTTCCTTCTTTGCAGCAGATCATAGCTGACACGTCATCCATCATACGCAGGCCATTCACCAGTCGCTGATCGCACCCCAACGACGTCAAAAACATAAATTCATTGTAAGTGCAGAGGAGGCAAGCCAGGGCAGGGCTGGAGGCCTTACCCATCGGAATCCCCACCTTCTGTTGCAGCAACTGCCCGCACGCTTTGAAAAAGGTCGAACCAAGCTCAAAAGAAACAAAATTTTCTATCACATCCAGAGGAATGGAGGTCCAACCCATCTCTGTTTTTCCAAACCTCAACTTCGCTCCCTTACCTCTAGTCCTAACCAGCACTCCTTTGCATTCTCTAACCACCCAGAAATCCACTACCCACCTGACTGCTACCATAATAGACTGATGAGGCAGGTTACAGAACATTTCCTTAATGTCAAATGCAGCGTTGACAAAAAATTCTCCCTTCTTTAACTGTTTATTGATCTGGCCCAAGGCAGGTGCCAATTCCGCCATACTCTTCAGATTAAAATTCATACCCTTCGGCAAATCCCACAACAACTGATTCACAGCCCGCGCCACATTTTCACTGGCAGTCACCCCTGGTTCCGAAAAGGTGGGACAAATCGGTCGCCACCTTGAAATATCCTTGTGCTTGGGGAATGAGTATGCCTGCCCCAGCACACCTCGCACGTTCCATTTCCCCAGACAATCAAACCCGTCCCGAACGTATTCAGCCCCACACTGCCGCATAACCTCTTCCTCATTATTGATCTGTTGAAAGCCACGGTTCATCAGGAACAGTTTGTCCAGGCTGGCCCTATACACCGTCGGACAGCAAAAGAAAGAATCACCCATGTTGTGGTCAATGTGGCAGCCCACCAAATCCCCCAACCTCACCCTCCATGCAAAGACCTCACCCAAATCCATTCCATTCGATGTAGGTTCAGTTGTTATTTTGTTAAAGCATGCCTCCACCGACTTCCTCTCAAACATGCTCTCCTCCAATTTCGGCAAAAAAACAACCATGCATTCACACTCCGATTATTCACACTTGTCTTGCATGCAAACAGCGATACAGCAACTGGCGACATGCGCCCTGACAGTACTTAAGATATCGTAACCAGATATGAGTTCTCTTCAACTGGCTATGGCGACTGGGCGCCCACACAACTCACTGTTCGCACTCTGGATCACCCTGGATGTCCCACACGCAACACTCAGTATCATACGCAACACACACACACGCTATGCTACAGCTATGGCAGTGCTAGCTGCCACTACCTATCGCTACACTACACTTCTCTGCCCACTTCGTCTTCGGGCACACTGCAGACCTCCTCGCACAAGCTGCTAAGGCAGCGCTTCCGCATGGCATCCGCAGGAATGAAAAAAATGGCTGGACGCAGCCTCTTGATTTATACTTCTGCGCTGCGTTGGTCTGCCCTGTATCCCTGGCCCATGGTGCACACAGTCCCCCCCGTGGTACTTGCTGGACCGGACTGGTACTTTCTAGACTCTCCCATGACTGCATGGCGACTACCCTACGACGCAGTGCAGTTGCACTGGGGTCCTACTATTTGCCCTTGCCACTTGTCCTCGTCTCCAACATGGGCTTGCTTTAGTCACACCACTTGCCCACTTGCCTGCACCACTTGACCACTTGCCAACCTTCTAGAAGGACTCCAGCTAGCCTTCTAATCTACAGGTCTACGGATCGAATCCTGGCTACCTATAGACCTATGACAGACCTACCTACCACTGGCGGTTCTACAGGTCGCAGGTTCAACTCTTCGAGTTGACGCAGGTATTGTACACAGGTAAGTTGGGGAACTAGGGATCGAGCCCTGGGATCTGCCTCAGCTACCACGAATTGGTGAATACCGTTTCAACCATCTCAAAAGAGGATGTAATCTGTTGGACAAGCAATCTATCCGAAGTGGAACGAGAAGGACGCGGAATGTTTTTTGCGTTCTTTAGAAAAGGAGGGACAAAGCCAACATCCGACATCCGAAAACAGACATGCCCAGCTATCCGGGGAAACTGCCCACCCATCTCACTGCAACAACACTCATGCTCAGTTTGCCTGCTCGCCTCCCGAAAGTTAAACAAAACATCACCCGTACTTCTATTCTTGGTCCAAACCACTTTCATTCGTCTTACAGCCATCTCCTTCAGACAGTCCGGCAGCTCCAACTTCCTAACCAGCTCCCCACACAACAGGCGTACGGCACTCTTACTCACAAGAATATCATAAGATAAGCGGATAACCAAACAGGCACGCACATTAAATCGAAAAGCCTTACGTACCACTCCCGTCAGTAAGCATCTCAACGTATACCGCGTCCTCCTATCCTTGAAACAACGAACAGCTGTGTACAGAAATACAAGCCGTTCAAGCCCCCAGTCATGCAGCTGAGCACGTGTCGACGGATTGCGGAGGAAGTCAAGAAGAACCGGCTTATGACAAAGCAGCGTCGAGCAATAATAGGTGATAGTGTGGAAATGCAAAACGACCCCATCCACCAACCAACCACGACTCTTTTTCAAAGCCGCAACCCCAAAGTCAGTTGCCACAACAGAACCACCAAAACAACGCTTCACAATCTTCCATGAATCCAGCAGTAAACTTCCCCCAGCACAACGAATTGTAATAGTCGACTTACCTCTTTCTCTTGCTTAAGACAGAATTTCCAGCAGACTAGCTGACCGCCCACAATCATCACTCGAAAAACAAGATGTGTATGCTTAGACAAACAAACACTCCCTTTATCATTGATCCTCCCTGCCCTCCTTCTTCGCAGCTTTTCCCGTTCTTGCTTCCCAGGTCTACAGTTCCTTCGCTTAGTAGGTCTATCCCGACTATTCAAATACGGACTACACCTTCGGATGACCATTCTTTCCAAACTAAGCAAATCTGACTGCTCACAATAAAATAACGGCAGAGCCACATAGCTTCCCGGACCACAGCGCCTCAGCCAGTTGTACAATCGGTGGTTCCTATCCCCTTTCTCAAATCCCTGTAGACGTGCTCACCCCATCGCACGTCAAGTGACCGACTCGTTGATCCTACATACTCATGCTTGTGCCAAGGGGACAGCAGAACATACACAAGCGAACCCTTTCGTGACCACAGATCGCCACCGTCCCTAGCCGTAGTCAACAGGTAGGAACGAAAATTGTCAGCCCAAGGGATAAATCCTCGAAAGACCATGACAAGCACCACAGCCTGGAAGAAAACATTCCAAGAAACATCTCGCAGCAAAGGAGTCGAGAAAGAGGAGAGACACGAAGGAGAAAGAGGAGAAGACGAACTAGAAGGAGAATGAGAGTCTCGGCAAACCCGTGCTAAATTCCAAAGAGTCGCGTTTCGGAGGTCCCATCAGACCGAGTCTGAGGGCACCTCCTCTTCAACCGCGACATCACTTTCCTCCACCGCCCCATGCCTCCGCTTCGCATCGTCATGCTTCCCACCATCTCCATCGAACATCCTGGCCGTATAGAGCTGTGCTAGTTCCTCCGACGTTATTTCAATAGTCTTATATCGCAGGCCCTCTTCCTCACACAAGGCCTCCAGACCGGACTTCTTCAAAGCCTTCAATCGTTTCCTTTCGTCCTGAAGCATAACAAACCGATCGTTAGCTTTTTTCGCACTTGCATCTGGGCAGGGCACTCGGCCAGCTGTCATTTTCATCTTGCCCTTACGCCCCGAACGAAACCCACTCTTCGCCGCCTCCTCCATCCTGTCCTTGAGGTTGGTGCCCACGCTTGCCGGCGTGGCAGCTTCCCCCGCATCTGTAGATAGCTTGTGCATTTGTTCTCTTAGCTTCTGCAGCTCTGCCTCGGCTTCAACTCGCTTGGCTTCAGCGTCCACCCGCCTTTGCTTTAGAAGCTCGACCTCCGTAAGATCACATGTACGCCTCTCATGCAAGTCCAGTAGCTCAGCCCGAAGTCTCCGAGCCTCCTCTGATGTGCTTACCGACTTTGACCTTGTGGCTGCCCTCCCCTCAGAGATAGGAGTTGCAACATTAATACTCCCCCTCTTGTTACCGGGACGAAGGGCTTCATTTCGCCAGAGCTGGGCCACCTCCTCAGTTTCTTCATTACGCTTACGCAGAGCCTCCATCTCAGTGCGTAGATCCTCAACCTGTTTAGCCAAATCACTTTTTCCCGAATTCTCCCGACACTCCCACATTTCCCGAATCTCCCATCTCAACGCCGCCAAATCTCCCTCCATCTTCTGCTTGAGATCAGCCTCTTGCCTCCGCAATTCAACGTTTTTGCGTTGCAATCGATCAATAGCCTCCGTGGAAGGCAACTGCTCCTTGATCCCATACTTGGTTCGCAAATCCGCATTCTCACGTCGCAATTTCTCCATCTCTTCATTTACAGAACTTGAACTCGCCACACCTCTGCCCATGATTGCTTCGTACATAGGAGCCAGCCGGCTCTCCAACTTCTGACCCATAGAATTTTCCAATTCCTCACGCTCTTTTCTCTTTTGCGCAGCCTCCTCCTCTTTCTCTCGTTTTTTCCTCTCATTTTCCTTCGCCTCCAATTCCTCCCTTTCCTTTTGCTCCGCCTTGCTTACGAAAGCATTACACTTATCCAGGATCTGTTGGTTCCTGGTCCACCAACCGGTTCGAGGCGCAGCTGCATACGATGGATTGGGTGGAGCCGTAGCCTGAACCGTTGGGGCCACAGCCCGTAGCAGGTAGAGCCAAATGGGCTCCGCATTAGGCCCCGTGGCTACCGAGGGACGATAACCCACCCTTCGTGGGTGTGGGCACTCCCGAGACCAATGACCAAATTGATCACAATTGAAACATGCTCCTCGCGCCGGAGCAGCCATGACAAGATAGTCAACGAAAGTAAAGGAAGGTAAGACGGAGACAGAAAGGGAAGGATAGGATATCTGAGTCAGAGCAGGTATCAAGTTTGACGACGATAAACCCGACAAGCGCAGCCACACATCCGTAGTACTATTCCTACGGCGGTTACCGCATGAAGTGCTGGTAATGGACAAGCCTTCCAGACACGCATAAAGTCAAACTGGCTGTCAACAAGAGACAGAGAGACCAAAGAGGAAGAAAGGAAGAAGAGGGAGAAAAGGAGGAGAAAGAAGAACAAGAATAGCAAAGGCTCAACCCAAGTTTCCCGAAACGCGACCATTCGGCCATATGATAAAAAATAATACCGCCGAAGCATCAAAAGATAATCGTGAAAACTGGCGCAGCGACCCTACGCTGCGTTTCATCCGGCCGCCAAACCTGAATCATCAGGGGTCTGTCGTATCGCTAGGGAAAGGGACTGAGCAAATAGACGTCTCAAGCTTAAGAACCAAAAGAAGAATCGTCTAAGAAGGTCCGAGATAGAAACAAAGATACTCGTCAGCAAGAAGGGGTCTGTCGTATCGCTAGGGAAAGGGACTGAGCAAATAGACGTCTCAAGCTTAAGAACCAAAAGAAGAATCGTCTAAGAAGGTCCGAGATAGAAACAAAGATACTCGTCAGCAAGAAAAAGTCCCCAGAATGCCGTCAGAAAAATATAGAAGGTGGACAGGATAGACCCTGTCTCTTATACACATCTAGATGTGTATCGATACTAAAATCAAGGCACAGTCCCAAACTTCTCACTTCTCCTACCGCCACCTGCCCATTCACCGGGCGGCCCCATGTAGACCCTCAAAAAGGTGCTTCGGGAAACCAGTGTTTTTGGGAAAAAAGGAAAAAGAAAGGAAAGAAAAAGAAAAGAAAAAGAAAAAGAAAAAGAAAAAGGAAGAAAAAGAAACAGAAAAAGAAAGGGAGAAAAGGCAAAACAAACAACAAACAAATCACAGAGGCATCCGTTCGAGTGTGAGTCCAAGACAGATGCACCCCAGTAGCCACTTCCCCCAACGTTTTCAGTGGCCATCCGACCCCAACTCTGTTATCGCACATTTCTCCAGACCCCATCTCCCTGCCCCCGATCTTACTAATCCACCCTCATGGGTGCAAGCGCCTACAGCGCCAATCGTCAATCTACCCCAGCCTGTCAGTACAGCCACCCAATCATCCCAGACCCCGCAAACTTCCTGGAAAAGACCGTCAGCCCATTATCGAAATATGTATCTGGGAAACCCCTCTTTCGCAACTCGATCTTCAAGGGAAGTAGAAACACAACCTCCATCCCCTTCATGGTAATGTACTTCCGTGCCCGGTGAAAACATGATCCGACGACGGCCATTTTCTGCTGCTTACTCGTATAGGAGTCGAAGTCCTGCAGGTTCTGAAACTTCACTCCTTTCTCTTTGTAACTCCGTTGATTTTTGTGCAAAGCAACACACTGCAAACCCCATGGCCATTCCAGAGCTTTCATCACACAGCCAAGGAAATCCGAGCAATCACCTTCACTAGTCTGCTCCAGAACGAGGTTGTCATCATAACATACCCGGAACGTGCCCATAAGCAGCTGGTTGGCCACCATGCTGTTCCATTGGCAGGCACCTGGACTTGCAGACTTCTAAAGCAGCACTCTTGACATGGACATCAGGATCAGTCTGCAATCTGCTATCCGGATCAGACTTCATCATCAGGACCGTGTACCGGACGCAACCTGACACTTGGACCTTCATCCATTGGACTGCTACACTACTTCTTTCAAGCTGGAACCCTCCCTACTACACGTTGCAAGCCTTTTGAAGACTGGTTTATCATCAGCATTTTGTACATGGACTTTCTTCAAGACCTGCTTCAAGACTCTCAGCCAGACCACTTTGCAGAACCTGCAATTTCTCCCCTACCCCATTCACCTCGATATCCTCAGCAACCCCAACACCCAAACACTGCAAAAATAATTCTCCTTCCTTTATTTTTGCTCACAGAACCCTTTCGCCCGATAGTCCATCAGTACGACAACCCTGTTCCCCCCTTGGATCATAACCCTGTAGTCCATGAGTAGGACAACCCTGCTCCCCTGCAGTTCCTAACCCTGTAGTTCATTAGTGACAAACTCTGTTCCCTCTCAGTAGTCCACCAGTACGGATACCCCGTACCCTGTTTCCCCCAGCCCTTGTTACCCACATTATACCCCTCTCCCTTTTTCTTCCTGCTTCCCAGTGATCAGCCCCGTCCCATCCTTCACAGGCCTCGGCATTACTTTCATGACTTTTGGCAGCCAGTATATTGCCTTCTAGAGGGAGGGGATAGTGTTACGACTCCGCCAGGGCTCGATCCCTGGTCTGCGGGTTACCACCCGCCAGCTGGCTGGTATTCGTTCCTTTTTTTTGTTCTTACTATTATCTTGTTTCTCTTTTTTCTTTGTTCTTTCTTTTTTGATTTTAGACAGTTGGCGCCATCTGCATTCTGGCGCCCGTTTTCAAAATCCCTCATTTACGACTTTCAGATTTCGGACATTCGGCGCCATCCGACATTCTGGCGCCCACTCTCAGACTTTCGCTTTTCAGTACCGGCCCTGAGGCATTTGCACTTTCGTCCTCAGGACCACACCTGAGTCCGGTACTGAAGACAGGACTCAAGCCCAGTACGGGCAACCAGTTCTCAGCCTCAGTGCTCGTGTTTCTTCGACATTGTGTTCGGGAAGTCAAGACTGCGACTTTGCGACTTTGCCACTTTTGTGTCTACGTCCGTCGAGTCGTGTCGAGTCTGCGTCGGGTTGAGTGAGCGTGTGTGTGTGCTCTCACTCTCCCTCTCTCTCCCAGCCTCGCTACTCTGCTTCTGCCTCGTCACAAACAGCCACTAGAAGATGTCTGGTGGAACAAGAGGACTCTTTTCAAGTCCACAAAGTAAATTGTGCAGACCTATGTTCCGATTGTAAAGAGAAGCAGACATTTCCAGGTCTCCATTTTCTTGGAGGACCACACATTCTCTCTCTCTCTCTCTCTCTCTCTTGGAAATAAGGCACAATCATGGCCATTTCTGGACCAGGTTCCTTTTTTCTAATGGTTCCCAGAACATGCAACTCTCTTTGCTTGTTGAGATAAAGAATAAACCTGGCCATCTTCTCCACCAGGTTTGAGCCACAGCCACCACAGCACTTGTAAAACAAAACAAAAGAGAGCACGCTCTACTACTACTACCTACAATCTCTGGGATTCCTTCGCAAACAAGGGGAAACAGCGCATGTCAGGTTTGACGAGTGTTGCTATCATCAGAGATTGGAACATTTGATGGTTTGCCCTGACCTGTTTGTTTGTGAAAACTCGAAAGGCAAAAATCTCTGCATCTGGAGCAAATCCCAAGCAGGATGAGTCCTGACTGGAAATCACACCTGCGACAAATGTGCCATGACCCAAGCCATCATCCAACGTGTCTTCGTCTGTCCAATTTGTACGTTCCTGCACCATCACATGAACGTTCAACCGAAAAATAGCAACAACTAAATATACCATGTTCTCCAAACCGCTGCATCTTGTGCCCGACCCCTCATCATTGATCCACATGATGCAAACTTCCTCTGACATCAAGGCACAACAGGCAAAGAAACAGGAAAAGGAGGAATGCCATGTAAAGATTGCCCTCCATCTGCTCCTCCCCCTCTTTCTGCCAGCCCCCCTTTCTGTAATGAACCCAGTCTGACAGATACTCAGAAGTCGCCAAATACCTGTAGAGTCAGTATCTGCAACAATGTCTCCAATTCGTGAAGAAATATATCAAACAGTATATCATTATCATCACTAGAAGAGAGTGGAGGGGGAACAGACAAAGGAGAAGATGAAGAAACACACAATAATCCCTGCTGAACCCTCTCCTTCTCCGGCTTCTCTCCTCTTCACATCAACAATGATGATAAGTATATTCCTGATCACACACGGAAGTGCCACGTGGCACTCAATCTCATGAAGACCATGAAGACATTGCAGATTTTCAAACCCAGGTGAGTACCCGTTCTCCCTCCAGGTCTTCCTACTTCCTTGCAACCAATCACCTCATGTAGACAGTGTGGACAATGCCACGTCAACTATCGAAACAGGTGGCAATAGCCACATCAACAATGTAGACCAGTAGCAGCACCACATCAGTATGCCACGTAGACCAGAGGCAGCGCCACGTATACCAGAGGCAGCGCCACATCAGCATGCCACGTAGACCAGAGGCAGCGCCACATTAGCACACGTAGACCAGAGGCAGCGCCACGTATACCAGAGGCAACACCACATCAGCATGCCACGTAGACTAGAGGCAGCGCCACGTATACCAGAGGCAGCGACACATCAGCATGGCCTGGCGCACCGAAGAAGCGCCAGCATCCTGCCTCCACCTCGTGCCGTCGTCCGCAACGCTTGTGCACAGCCAGCATGAAACCAGCGTCGTGTCAAAGTCGAGCCAGCGTCAAAGCAGCATAGCAAGACTGAATGCTAGACTCTCAACGCTTGTGCACAGCCAGCATGAAACCAGCGTCGTGTCAAAGTCGAGCCAGCGTCAAAGCAGCATAGCAAGACTGAATGCTAGACTCTCTCGAGGCCAGCCTTAAGTAACAGATGTCGAGGCTGTCTGGACTCAGTCCTCTTTCCTCAGTCGTCCGGATTGACTCACATCTGAAGGCCCGGATGATACAGTTGCAGACTTCTCCCTTGGACGTGATGCTGTCTGGGTACCTGCATACAAACAAATGTGTGTGCTTGACCAGCGGCCTGGGCTAGAAACCTCTGGAATTAAAGCAATGAAACAAGTAGCTGGAAAATTGAAATTAGAGCTAGCTCAATTTGCAGAATTGGAAGCCTTCGCTCAGTTTTCTTCAGATCTAGATAAAGCCACTCAGAACCAATTGGCTAGAGGACAGCGTCTCCGTGAACTTTTAAAGCAACCTCAATCTTCTCCTCTATCTGTAGAAGAACGGGTTGCTACTATTTATACTGGTATTAATGGTTATCTAGATAAATTAGAAACTGTTGGATGGACCGATCAGGCCCTGAATTCGTGTAGGGCCTTTTTGCCCTTGTTCGGCCTGGGCTGAGGGCGGCCAGGTAGGCCCTCTGAGACCCTCAGTTTCCGCGAGACATATGGCATGGGTTATTGCATTTCCCCCTTCCTCCTTTATTTTCCCTCCTCTACCTCGTGGGAAACGAAATGAACGAAGTTCTCATCAAGTTCTACCTCGCATACATCAATGAACATTCACACGGGAGTTCACATGTGAGAAGCCGATGCTGAGATACAATCAACACTTGAGGAAATCGGCACCAGAAATTATCATTATCATACAAAGGAATGTTTGTCTCCAGCGGCTCCACCACACACACACACACACACACTCAGAACTGATCTCAACTGGATGACGGCTATGGCTTCTCTCTCACAATTCTCTCTGGCTAGGTTCACTCTGCCTCACTCTCTGTCTCTACTCTAGATCATAACCCTGGATACACCCACTTAGGTAAGCTTCACGCCTCGCAGCTATGAAGCAACTCTCAAGTGCCCCCTTCCTCCTTCAGCCCACCTTCCCTGCTCCCTCTACCCTAGCTATGAAGCAACTCTCAAGCGCCCCCTTCCTCCTTCAGCCGCAAAGTGCCCAATTCGCCTTAACGCACAAGCAGCAGCAGCGCTTTTGCATCTTGCAATTGAACAAGTAATGAGCCACTGCACTGTAGCTGCCAAATATAGGATTTGACTTGGCTTGTCCTGCTTCAGACCGGTTCCGGTCCGTCACGGCCTGTCTGCTGCAATCATTTTGTCGCTCTGGTTGCTTCCGGACTTTCCTGGGACACGCAGCAAAATAGGACTTGGGACTAGACTGGACCGCTCACGACTTTTGCAATAACCCACTCAAATATGCCTATGTCGTCGTCTAAGGCCCACCCGCAGGCCAAGAAAAAGGTCTTAAGACCCTGCATCCGACAGGGGGGGAAACAAAGCCCCTGAGACGTGGCCTCAGAGGCGTTGCACCCAACAGTTGACCAAAAGTCAACTGTATCAAGGCTCACAAGTCAAAGTCCAACGATCAGACACACACACTTGGTTGTACGCAGTTATCCAGACGGCATTCGGTCCAAGTGGGAGGCTGCGCCAGCTGTCTTCTTGAGTGCTGACGTGGCATTTGCCATGCTGTCTTTGACATTGCTGACGTGGCGCATGTCACACAGTCTTCATTACTGATTGGGAAGCGACAAGGAGGGAGATCGGGATCTGTGGGATTGATTGAGAGAGAGAGGGGACTTACCTGTTGATGCTGTCGACATTGCACGCTACAAAGACGTCTTCATGGGAGAACCATGCCTACGTGGCACTTCGATGTGATCAGATCTCGTCGTGCTTGTTTCTGAGACACTGTTTGCTGACGTGGACGAGAGCAGATGCCCGAAGAAGAAGAGGGGAACGAGGGGTTTCTATCTACGTGGATTTTGATGGATACTCTCTTCCACCTTATATGTCTGTTCTCCCCCTCTCCTCCTTCGTCCTCTGGTTACGACACGATTACTGGAGACATTTATCCGCGCTGAGTTATCTTGAATTTTGACACTTGACGAGTTTCCTCCCGACTGGGTTCATTACAATTTGGTATCGGAGCTTACCTTCTTCGTCGTGATTTGCTGTTGCACGCTCTGACGCACCAGGTAAGTAAGGGAGGTGCCGTGCGATGACTGAATCGCGTCTATAGACGCGTGCGATTATAATTGTGATCTGGACATTGATGCGCACACACACACCTTCCTGTTGAAGACGATGACGTGGACATGAGGGCGGCGACATTGCTGATGAGGCACATTGTTGCTGACGTGGCGATCAGATACCGGCGAGAGCATCGTTGGCTGCGGCGCTGACATGGCGCTGGATGATCGGAGAGAGAGAGAGAGAGAGAAAGAGAGTGGAAGAAGACTGCTGACGTGGCATTAAGGCGCTGCCTACGTGGCATGGAGCGAGGGTGCTGACATGGCATCCAGGACACAGCGGGTATTGTCTGACGTGGCACTTACCTGTGTCGCGTTTTACCTACTGACGTCATGCCTTCATACTCCAGCGGTAAGTTCGATCTGGCGTGGCATACCAGTGGCAAATGTGGTCGCAGACAGTGCGCTGCTGACATGACATCCCTATTGACAGCCTTGCTGGCTCTTGATGCTGATGTGGCATACTCCGTGGGGTTGCTGCATTGGCATGACAGGGGTGACACGTGGCAGTAGGGGCATGCTGGCACTTGCGCGTGCTGGTGGGCGATACAGCATCACGAAAAGGCTGTAGTGCCACGCGTCGGCCCTTGTGCCTGGCTGCATCGGCATTTGCAGAGGAACAGTCAAAGAGGATGAGCTACTGACATATTGATTGATTGTTGTTTTGCTGGCTGATTTTACTCACTGTGGGATGTTCTGTGGATGTCTTCTACTCACCAACTGTGGGTTGTCTTGATCACTCTGGCCGTGGCTGCAGAATCCGTACCACTCTCAGATAAGAATGTCATCACACAGAACAAACAGCAGAATTAAGAAACAGATAAAATAGAAGAATCTGAACCTTTAATTCTTTTAATTTTTTTTCTTGCAGTAGAAATTAATTGAAGCAAGGCCGTGGAATTTGCTAATTGTCTTTTTATAAGTTTATTATGCGGCAAACTCATCTGTCAGAATGGCTTTTGTGTGGAGTTGTCTGCATGCATCCATCTTGACCCACTTCATTCCCTTCCTCTTCTACCATCTCTATCACACTTGCAATACCCCGCTTAATATGCCTTGAAGTGGCCCCTCAGGCCACATGCAGGCCGCTATCCCGGTCTGTGACCGCAAAGGCCAAGGGGTGAAAATCCCCTTGTTGGCCCAGGGCCTGTGCGCCCGACAGTCGACTTCAGTCAACTGCCTGAGGCCCAACAGTCAAAGCCAATCTGGACCCAGCCCACGCCGCTGGTTAGACACACACATTTGTTTGTATGCAGGAGGTACCAAGACAGCATTCGGACCAGGCGGAAGTCTGCAACTGTAAGTGATCCAGGCCCTCGGCTGTGAGTCAATTTCGGCCACCGTGGGTGGGAGACCTGAGGCAGGTCAACTCCGTCTATCACTACATAAGACCCTGCCTCCAGGGAGTCAACATTCAGTCTTGCTATGCTGCCTTTACGTCTGCTCGACGCTGGCTTGACGCTGGCTGGATGCTGGCTTGACGCTGGCTATACGCTGACACTGTGGACGACGCAAGACTGCTGCTGCTTGCTGGCACCTTTCTGCTTTAACGCCAGCCTATGCTGACGTGGCGCAGAGCCACACTGTCTTCAACATTGCTGCCACTCTGTCTTCATTGCTGATGTCGCATTTGCCACATTGTCTACATTGCTGAGTTGGACACAACAAGGAGGGAGATTGGGATCTGTGGATGATTGAGAGGGAACGGCACACTTACCTGCGGGTGATGT